GACTGGCAGAATGTTAGTCTGCAATTCAGCTGCTTGGAGCTGGGGGCAGCAAGACACAGAGGGCACCATATGGCCAGCAATGCAACCAGGCAATGATGGAGAGCAGATCCCCCAGCTGCCGGCAGGCAAGTCTATGCTGGGGAACGGCCATAGGGAGAGGATTCGGGGCAGACTGAGGCCCCTATGGTAAGGGAGGGAGTGGGACAGGGTTGGCAGTTGGGACTGGGGGCACTGCACAGCTGTGGTGGTGCATGGGGCCCAGGACTTGGTGCTGGGGTGGGAATGTGCAATCACGGGGCCCAGCTGGGGGAGAGGGAGGAACCACAGGCAGCTTGTCCGGGGTGTGGTGGGGGCAGGGAGGGGGGCTGGCTCTCCACTACTGTGCACACTCCTAGAGAGGGGTGTATGGAGGGAATGTGCCCTCCCCAGATTTGTATGCGGGGAGGAGGCAGATGCAGGTTGCCCTGCTGTGGACTCAGGACTCCATCCCCTGCTGCCCTCCCTCTAGGGCGTCTGCAGCCAAGGGGGTGGGACCCAGCATGAGAAGGCAGAGTGGGGCAGGGAGGTTTGGTGGTTCCACTGCCACCAAGAGCCCTATGCCAGCCACACCACCATGGCAAGGCATCCCCTGCCAACTCAGCAGTAGCAGGGGCAGTGGCAGTGGCACAGAGTTGTTCCCCCTCTACTGACAGGTAGGCAGGGGGCACCTTGCCATAGCAGTGCAGCTGATGCAGGGCTCCTGGTGGCGTTGGCAGTACTGAACCTCTCTGCCCTTCTGCACTGGTCCTTCCCATTGGCTCACGGAGGCCCCTTGAGGGGGAGGGCAGCAGGGCAGGGAGTCCTGAGTCCCGCAGCAGGCAGCCTGCATCCTCTCCCACCCCCCACAGGCTCTGCTCCAGCTATGCCTCCTGCAGCAGAGGGAGGGGCTCATAAACTCTGTGGAGTTTATGAGCCCCTCCACATCATGTGGCCCAGCCACCAGAAGGAGATTTATCACTATCACAACTATCCGCTGATGGGAAATCAATGAGGAGATTGAGGAAACCCTCGGTTGTGCTCTAGGTTTTGAGCACTGTATAGGTCGGGGTGGGCAAACGATGGCCCACAGGCTGGATCCAGCCTGCAAGGCCATTCTATCTGGCCCGCGCAGCCCCTAAAAAATTTAGAAAATTAATATTTATCTGTTTTTGATTCCTGTCAAAAATTATAGGACCCAGGGGCAGTAGGACCCAGGAGAAGCCTTGCGGGCTCCCGCAACAGCAGAGGCTGCCCAGCCCTGCCCTCCCAGCCAGAAGCCCCAGCAGGGGCTTCTGGTCTGGGACCATGTGGCTGCACTGCACCAGCAGAAACTCAGGTAAGGGGTGGGGGGAAAGGCAAAGAAGGAGCCTGAGGAAAAGCGGCCCCTCCCCCACCCTGTAGCCAGCTTTCCTTGCTGCAGCTACTCGCAGCCCATGTGGGACTGTCCTGAGCAGGCACAGGTAGCCCCACGCAGGCTGCGAGTGACTGCAGTGTGGGGCACCGGCCACCGGGTGGGCGAGGGGCCACTTTTCCCACGCTCAGCAGCAGCTTGTAACCCGCCGCTGCTGCCAACCTGGGCCCCATGCCGGCTCCAGGCTTGCCCATCGGGACTGCGCCGTGGTGGCAGCAGCTGTGGCCCCCTTGCTTGCTGCACCAGGCAGTGTTTGCTGCTGCTGCCCACCCAGAGCTTGCGCACTGGGCAGGACAGAGACAGCCATATTGATATGTTTATCCATTAGAGGCTGTGCCCTTGAAGGTTTCAGGTGGCTTAATTAGCTTAAAATGGCTTGTAATGGTAAGTTTCTCTGGCTAGGCTATTGCCAATTAACAGCCAGAGGCTCTTGCTTTGTCTACAATTATCTACTGCAATTATCTACTGATTCATACATACTCACATTCACTCAGGGGGACCATCCCAACACAGCAATACAATCCCAGTGATTACAATTCCAATGCATTCTTATAATAAAAATTTTAGTAATACAAGGTATGACTCACATCACCTCACAGACCCAGCCCAGCTCCCCCCAATATTGCAGCCAGGGTACCTGAGGGGGGCCCACAAGGAGAGGGGGCTCCATGCCACCCTCAGCTCTGGCCAGGCAAAGCAGCCTGCAGCTCCATGCTGCCACTCTCCCTCCACTGACAACCCCAGAGCTGGAGTGAGAGGAAGGAGGGCTGGGGAAAGGGGCAGTTCAGCAGCCTCCTCAGAGGCTGTTGGGCAGGGTGGAGGGGAGGGGTCGGGGGCAGGTGCTCGAACTCGTGGTGTTTTACATAAAGTGCCATGAGTTAAAACAGGACGCTGAATGTCTGTAGGCACCTGGGTTAAAACTCTTTAACAAGTGAATGCTCCCATTTTAAGTGTCTTTATGATAATTTAAAGGTAACCTCTAACACCATCCCAACTCCTTATCAACACAATCCTATATTAAGGCTAACCAGCCCATGGTTAGCTGAGTCATGGTGTTTACCCTTTAAATGCTAATTCAACATGGACTTTCTTCCAATGCTCTGCCATTTTCATAGTTTCTTAAGAATTATTAATGATTAACCTCAACATTTTGGAATCAACTCCTTTAAAAAAACTCTTGGATACAAGTTATTGGGACCTGCTAGTTTTAAAAAACAGTATTTAATTTTAATTAAGATGTATTTTAATATGTTCCTATACTACTGTTGAATTAACACATTAAATTATGTATCAATTTCCTAATATAATTAAAGCTTTCAAACCAAATACGGACCAAAAATATATGCTGAACCCTTCTACAGAAGCATAGTTTAGTACAGAGTTGCCCAAATAGCAGCCTAAAGGCTCTTGCCTCCATGCTGCTCCCCCTCACCTCCTTCCTGTTGCTGCCACCCACCCACCTGGGTTTCCTGGCTTATCTCCCTCCTCTGGCTTCTGCTTCCTCTCCTACCCCTAGTACAAGAAGAAATGAACAGAAAACAATGAGCTAAATGAATTTTAGTGGTAAGTAGTTATCCATGAAGTTTGCTGTGTCCATGAAGTTTGAGGAGGAATGCATTTATGCAGTAAGTCTAGGCAATTGTATTGTGAAAGCCAAACACATTTAAATTGCTGACAGTAACAAAGCCTTCTGGCACCTAAAACCTTACACTTGAGTGATATCCACAGTTGCTGTGGATCCAAGTTCAAAGGCTAATTTGAAGCAACTCTCTGTTCATCTTTTTATACATATTTCTTTACACCACTTATCTTCCCATGTTCCTGGGCTCTTATTCTTATTTTTATTCTGCCATTGCCATAGAGCAGCATAGTTGCCTTGCTGTACACTTTAGGCCATGCATGGTAATACAGAGAGTGAGCTGATGTACTATATTCTAATTTCTGTGAGTTTGGTTCAGATTATGTCTTTCAAAAACCGTGCTTGATATTAATGGGACCATTATGCTGGAGTTTGGGGCAATGGTCTCATTAAAGTCAGTCGGTACAACTGCCCTCAATCCAGGATGATTATAAAAAAACAGTTATACTCCCTTATGCAAAAGAGATGTGACATGATAAGCATCAACACCAAACACAGACATAAGACAAGACTTGAAAAACAGCTGAACTATGGGGGGCAGGGCTGTAATATAGCAAGGGCAGAGGCCAGGTTACTGAACTGTGCCTGTTTCCCAATAGCAGCCAAAACAGAGTAATGCAACCCAGAACACAGGAGCTCTGGCAACATGACCCAGGCCCTCAGGACATTCCTGGCCCATACCAGATGGAGACTCCCAGCAGCGCATGGTCCTGGTGAGGCCCAGGACTGCACATGGCCAGGTCGCTGGCTCCATCGCACAGGGTTCACATGCAGTTCCCAGGTTCTCTGCTGGAGCCCCTGGGGGGATCCCCATGTGGTGAGGCTGGCGATGCAGATCACAGGGCTCAGCTGGGGCAGCAGGGAGTGGAGAGGAGCCAGCCTGACTCCACAATGCAGAGCTCCCTGCTGTTCCCCAAAACCTGCATGTGGCAGTGAGTGGGGCTAGGCCACTGGCTCCATTGTGTGGGGCTCCCCACAGAGGTGTGCAGCTTGGGTGGAGAACCTGGAAACTGCATGCAAGCCCCAGGGAGCCACGTGCAATGGAGTCAAGTGGACCCTGCACCCCTGCCAGCCCAGGCTTCACACTTCTGCTGCCCCACCCTGGGCCCCCACCAGCTTCAGCCCCAAGACAACAGAGCAGGTCCCACACTCCTGCCCACTACCACTTCCCCCCCTGCCTGCCACCACAACTTCCCACCTGCTTGCTGCCCCCGCTGGATCTCCCAAGGTCAAAAAAAAACCATGGTGCAAAGTAGCAACACACGAAATGCCTGAATGCATGGTGTGTGGCACCATAGATGGGTCTGCAGTGCCACATACTGCACAGCCATGCTCATCTGGATGCAGCCAATGAGTGCAATTAGCAAACAATTTATTTAGCCTGTAAATGGATTACAGTTGAATTACCATTGAATGGATTTAACTGACTTATGTTTGTGTTTGGTCCAACCCTGGTAGGAGACTAAACATACCAATCTAAGCCATTGGCAAATATGATAATTATTCATGAACGTAGCATTGTTCTCACATAACTTGAGGCTGACCACTGTGCTTATGGTGTCACTCTGCTGTTTACATTGGACAGAGAAGGTGATTCCTACATGAAAGAATGAATGAACACCAATCTGCCATAAAGTTCAGAAATACACAAAAACCCACAGCAAAACACTTCCACCTCCCTGGCCATTCCATCACTGACCTCAGGAATTAAAGAATGAGATTTTGAAAATAGACTAGAACATACAACTGTAGAACAAGAAATCATCCATAGACTGGACTGCATTAAACTGTTCCAAACAGGCAATTCGGATTTTAATCCTATTACCAGGATTAGCTGTTGTGTCCTTGTGGATTTACTGCTTTGTTCTCTCCATCCCCACCCTGCCTCACTTAGCACTGCTCCCTCTCCTTCCTTCCTCCAACCCCTTTCTCTGCTTTTTGTATTAAAAATCACTCCTATTTGATAGTCTGCTCTCTGCATGTTATTCCATACCATCTGATGAAGTGAGCTGTTGCCCATGAAATTCTCTGCATCTCTAAACTAATTAATCTATAAAGTATACCTCTACCCTGCCTTTTGCCCAGCTTCAGCCTCACATGGCTAAATAGTCTAAAACACACCAAAAAGTGTACACATAAAACAAACAAAAAAGCCAATATTCTCTAAAACAGGGGTGTCAAACTCATCCAACCCAATGAGCCAGAGGAGAGTCTGTGTGGCCCTCATGGACTACCCCCCTGTGCTCCATGCAGCATGAGGCCAGCCTACACACTGTGGACAGCTCGTACTCCATGCTGGCCATGCATGCCATATACAGAGCGAGTCACAGGGTCAGCATATGCTGTGTGCAGCACACTGGGCTGGGCTGGCCACACATGGAACAGCAGACTGAAACAGGGCACACGGTGTATGCAGCACTCCCCTGGACCGGCCCTTTGTGCTGGTTCTGACAAAGCTTGATCTGAACTGGCCCTGGAGCCAGTGCACAGGGTTGGTCCAGCAGGGTGGCACATGCAGTGTGCTTCTGGACGGACCCCCTGTGCTGCATGTAAGACTCACAGTACCAGGTCCAGCCTGGATGCCACATGTAGCATATGGAGCCAGTGCTGGCATGAGGGGTTGGTCCAGTGCCCCACAGGCTGGATCCGGCCTGTGGGCTGTGTTTGACACCCTGCTCTTAAAGGGACAGAAAAGAGAGGATGTCATATTACATAGGAATGTTCCATATTTCCTTTATTCCATAAGGGTTCTTATAATTGTGACTGAATTTTATAACCTGTTTTCATTTTACTTGTTTAAACACGTCTGTTCACACATGACATAAGAAACTACATGAGATGATCATCTCAAATTAAGCTATATAAGGCATCCTTCTACAAAGTGGATTTGCAACTCAGTTCATGTTCACAGTACTGCCTTCAGGTGAATGCCAGGCCCCAAACATCATTATTATTTATTGTACTGTTTAGGAGTCTCAGCTTTGGAGCAGAACAAAAAAATAACATCCCCATCAATCATCATTCAGTACAAAGTAACTGAATCAATCAGTCTACGTTAAAAGAAAAAATAATAATTTGAAAACTATTTTTTTAAAGAAGTTGCTTGCTGTAATACAACCGCTTCTGCCAATGGCTGTACTTCGTGTAACAGCTGCAAAGGCTTTCTTGGCTGCAAGCTGAGTGAGTGAGCTATGCCTAAGAACTTTGCAAGAAAGGCGGCAAAAAGTTTGCAGAGGGTGCAATGGCTTTTCCAAACAGAGGGTAGGCTGTGCACAATGCCTGCTTTTTACTGGAGCATTTGAACTGTGACCGAAGCTCTTATTGGCTACTATGGACCCAGGCTCTTATTGGCTACTATGGAGCCATAAAAAGCTGAGGGAGAGAAAAGCAGCTGAGGGAGAAGCTGGAGGAGAGGAACACCAGCCTGGAGAGAGGGGCAGAGACCAGTGGCTGACCAATGGGGGTGCAGGAGGAAGGCCATGGCCCCTGGGCGTTGGTCTGGAGAGAGCACCGGCTGGGCCCTTCAGAGTTCTTATCACATGACATAGGATGGGCTGGCCCTGGTTATCTGCAAAACCTGCATTCACAGGAGGCCCTGCAGAGCTGGTGGTGGTGGCTGGGTTGGTTAAGTAGCCCACCCACCTGCCCCATGGATTGGATGTTTAGTTACCTGTTCCAGCCAGAAATTCTGGCTACCACCCCTTCCCCTGCATCTGGTGTGCCGGGACTTTCATTTCCTTCCCAGCTGAAAAAGGTAACTAAATGGCCGGGGGGGAGACTTTAAGTATTGCTATGAGAAGGACCGGGGGTGGGGGGGAATCAACCTGGGTTATGGCAGGGAAACTATTTTAAAGAGTTATAGCCAGGTGAATGTAATCATTGAGGTTGTTTGATGCAAGTGGGGCCACCCAGTGTGGTGAAATTAGTCACCTAATGTTGCACTTATAAATTCTATTAAAATTGTTGGTTTTATATATATATTTATTGTCTTGATTAGTAATTTCTCTTCAGTATATAGTTGCACATAAAGAAAACAATGGTTTATTGGGTTTGGAGTAAATTCTTGGGCAGTGAAGGTGAGGCACACATGCCTCCACAGGACATATCAGTCAGCAGACCTGCCTGAGGGGGTTCTCAGTGCTACTGGCACCCTGAGGTTCCAAAATCTGGCACATCACCTGGCCTAGTGTGCCAGCATGGGTTACATTTGCATAACACATATTTTTAGTTTCTTTCTTTCCACTTCTGCTGCACAGAATACCCAGGCAATTGGAGGGTATCTGATACTTGTCTGTGCAGCAGGTTACAAACAGCATTACGCTTTGTTATGCTGTCTTTAGAAGTGTGGCAGGCATGAGACCATGAGGAAAAACTTACATGGAGTGGGTGAAGAGTGGACCCAGCGGGATTGCACCAAGTTGAGAATGTGCTGGAAGTGGAGCTGCAGCACAAAAAATGCTGTGTCAGGGGAAAGAAAAAAAAAGAACCATGGATCCCAGAGGAGACAGGACTGGCTCCTGCCCTGGAATGGGTGTGCTTTATGGCAGTGTGCAAGTGCCAATTCACAGGCCGGCCCCTTGAACCCAGGATAAAAAGCCCACTGGAAGGGAGACAAGGGGAACTGGAAGTGGGTTCTCTGGTGGGCCCAGAGTGGCTCGGAGTGGAGCAGAGCCCTACTGAAGGAAAGTGGTGGCTGTCCCAGGAAGGGACCTCCAAGAATAAGCTGAGCCCAAACTGGCTGAATGCCCTACCTGAAATGGCACTGTGGACTCCAGACATCTCCGGACAGGATTGGACCAAGCAGGAACCTGAGGAAAAAAGAAGAAATGGACGTCTGTACCATGGCAAGTACAGACAAGAAAGAGAAAGAGGGACGATGGGGAGCAAGGTAACCTGGGGTTGGGAAGGAATTTAGGCTGGACCCAATAGACCCTGAAAAACCTGGACAAGACAACATCCAAAGTCGACCAGTGTAATTCAGAAACCCAAGATAGCAGAAACTATACCGAACCAGACCTAGAAAACAGGAAAATAACATCTTTGGTTGGCATTAGGTTGGGTGTAGGGAAGGGGGAGCCCCAAACAGGAAGATGGACAGAAAGATTGATGGAAAGGTACCAGGAGAGTACCATCTTCCTCCCAATTAAACAAATGTGTTCCAGTAAGATGTGTCAGGTGAGAACCTCTGAGGACTGTCTGGAATCTAACCCAGTAACAAGCTGTCCTCTCCCCAAGCAACACTGAAGCCAGAAAAATCCATATAACCAAGGTGCACTGGTGAGTGGCACAGGAGCTTACAAAAAGCCATAGATTAAACCTGTTCATGAAAAAGGATGAAAGTCAGCATTGCTCCAAGAGAAACAAGATAATGAGAAGCTTTGTGGCATTGTTTCATAGAAATCATAAAAATGTAGGGATTGAGGAGTCCTCAGAAGTCCATACCCTAATCTGAAGCAGGTTAAACACACCAAAGCTGTCCAACATTAAGGCAGCTGAGGGTTACAGGTACCTCCTAGGCTGCATGGCCTACACACGCATGTGCAGGTGAGCACTTCTTCCCCCCCCACTCCACCCCACACACAGGAAAGTAATCCCCTGTACAATGTGGCATCCCACCTCATATTCAGCTTCCTGTGGATTCCCCTCTAGCCCCATGCCATATGAATGCTCCAAGGTGCCCACTCCCCTAGCAGACTGGCCCACGCTCTGGGAAGATTGCATGAAGTGGGTGGGGAGGGACCTGAGCCCCTTCCTTCTCTTGCCAGTGGAGCAGGAGGGGCAGTGGCTTCCAGGTGAGGCAGCCTGGGTTCTGCACACTAACCCTTCATGAGCCACCAGTTGGTCAGCCCTGAAATACACCTAGACATCTGGCAAATGTCTGGTTAATCTGCTTTTAAAGCCTCCATTGAAAAGGATTTCACCATCTCCCCAGATAAACCTTCTAATGCTTAAGTTCTTAGCACTAAGGATAGTTTCTTAACCTCCAACCCAGATATCTTCTTCTACAAATCAGATTGATTGTTTTTTGTTCTACCTTCAGTGACCATTGGGAGGGGCAGAAATATCACCATCCTCTTTATAACCTTGTTAAAAGGCACAGACACCTACATGGCCTTTCTTCCTAGAAGCAAACTTTCAACATTTCCTTGTAAGGTGAATTTCCTAAAACTCCAGTTTTTGCTGCTGACCTCTCTCCAATTTATTTGTATATCTTTTTTAAAAGTAGGGTACCCCAAACAGGACACGGTACTCCACCCAGGGTCTCAACATTGTTAAGGCACATACAAAAGTTATTCTGCTCCAGCAGTGCTCAACCTTTTTGTCCATGGGGCTAGATGGGCAGTGCCTAGTTCCTCTGCAAGCCAGATCCAATCTGGTTCCCAGGATATGGGCAGCAGGGCCCCATCCAGCTGCACTGATGTTCAAGAGACTTTCGATAGAGGCAACACAGTCCAGCTGTTGTCTCTATTGGAAGTCTGTTGCCTGTTGTTGTTGACTTGGCTTCAGGCTTCCCAGTCATCTTTACTATTTCTTAACAAAGGTGCATTTAGAAGGGGCTGCTAACAGCTCTGGAAACACTACTTCATTATGGGTAGGTCTACAGGTGAGCATTTAATGTACATTAGCCTGATTTTAGGCACATTAAGGGTGTATGTCTACATGTACACACCCTTAATGCACCCTAAAATTGGTCATTTTATGCTAATCGCACCTAAATTTCATACCCGCATCAAGCAAGTACTAAATTTAGGCACTGTTGCAGGAGTAGTGTCTTCAGGAGTAGTGTCTCTCTGACCTACCATGACTTGATGTATTGCTGAGTTGGGACTATGTATGTAGTGCTGCCTTATATGTGGCCTTGATGTCACAACGTATACACACGGCTCCACTTTTCCCTACACCGTGTCCATGTGCACCCTCCAATTTGAACAGCACTGGTCAGCTAACAGGCTTCCCCATTAGGACCCATGATGATGTCATTCACCATATGAGCTTAGGTGCCCAGTTGAAGACAAAAGTCAGTCCTTAAGTCTTTTCTTCCCTTGTAATTATAATAAGGCAAAACAGCAACTTAAAGAATGGGAGGAGTCTTTTTCCATAAATTTCCCACTTCCTGGAGTTCTACTCCAGGACTGCCTCCTGTGGACCCTTCTCCAAAATCCCTTAGCTATAGTTCCGACCGTGAGAAATCAATCATCTAATGGACCCACAGACAAAGTCCTGGGTCACTTGGCTATAATTCCCACCATAAGAGATCAATAAAGTCTCTGGTCACCCATAGCAGGTTGTAAAAATGCCCCCTACACAGTCTCTCTTTCTTCCAAAAAAAGCCTCCCCAGTTGTTAATTCTCACAGCCTGGGTTCTGTCCCACCTCTGTCGATACTGGCTGTGTCCCCTTTTATCTAGAAGAGAACTGTTGTATTTGGCTCACACTTCTCCCCCTTGACTGGGGTTGTCACTGCCCAAGTCACATCTCATTCTTGAATGGGGTTCGACTCTTCTGCATATGGTTCCCTTTCAAAAACGCCTCATTTCCTTCTTGTCTCTTCTTCTGTGGGTCCTACAAATCTGATGCTGTCAACATCCCAGGGACTACCAAAACCATTGCCATGGTCCACCGCTGCTTCCTGAGATCACTGCTTAGCATTTGCTCACCGGTGCTTCTGAGCTAGCCCAGGTAAGTTCCCTTACCAGCCTCGCCCCTTTCCAGGGGTCACATCCACTATTCGCCATGGTCTCTTCTCCCCTCACCCAGAGCCTCAAAGTCTTCTAATCTCCGTACACCTCCTGACATCATCTTCCTGTGTCCCTCTTAAAGAGGCTGTGGCTGCATTCAGTCGAGTCTTGCCGCCCCCTTTCCCGTGTTGATTTGTCTACAGGTAAGTGTAGCAGGGGTGGATTCTGGCTCCCTGCTACAGGCACAATTAAAGCACATTAATGCACATGCAGATGTATTAATGTACATTAATACAAAGCCTTCAGAGCTGGGTCTGCCCAACCCCGGGGCTCCTGGCTGGCCAACTCTCCTGCTCCAGGGGTGTGCTGGTCTCTGGCAGCCCCCAGCTGCAGGCTATTTTGTGTCTTTAGGCACGCATCACAGGGAGCCTGAAGCCACTGCTCTCTGCAGGAGCCCACCAGTCCCCATGTGTCCCCCTGGACAGGATCCAGGCATCCTCTACCCATCCTGTCCTCCATCCTCTAGCTGGAAATGCTCCTTGGCCACAGATGAGTATTGCAAAGGGCTGAAGCCTACTACATCCTTTGCCCAGATCTGAGAATCCCCTGCAGGGCTGCTGACCCTGCTATGGCAGCAAGTCCAGCACTTGCTTCCTGCTCCTGCTCAACCCCAGCTCTGTCTCTTTGCAGACTTTTTTTTTTTAAGAAACTTTTCATGTTGCAAGCCAGATCAGCCAAATCAGGTCCAAATCTGTGAGTCAGTCCAGAACCATAAGTGGCCCTAAAACCAGCAAGCATCCTCCACCCCCACCACGGCTTCAGATATTTCCAATGTCTTTTGGCAGGCATACTACATGCAGACCCAAGCCCAAAGGCTTGGGATTCAGATACCCCCAAGTTTCACTTGCCCTCAGCCATATGGCTGCAGGAGCAAACTAGGGAGGAGCCTCCCATTTCCATAAAATGGGCATTAAGCCCCAACACCTCAGCAGGTACTAAACCACACCAGAAGAACAGTTATCCCCAGGAATGCTTAAGCAAAACTGCCTTCTTGGACCCGGATACATGGTGTTTCCCCTGCCAGGCAGGCACTGCGGTAAAGTGCCTCTGCTGTGTGGCTCCCTGTCCCTGGCTGTGTCCCTGTCCTGGGTGCTGCTGGCAGCCCTCCAGGGCCAGCATAGTAGGGTCAGCCATCCAGAGGCCCAGACAGCCAGTGTGGGGAGCATATCCAACACGTCATCCCCATCCCGCCTCTGCCCCCTGCCAGGCCCACCCACACTCCCCTGACCCCAGGTTTCTGCCCCCCACCAGCAGAGAGAGAGGCAGGACACAGTTCAAAACTTTAGTGTGCGTTAGGCCGGATGCGGCAGCAACAGGTGCTGCCAGCAGCCTGGTTTGGCCCGCCCTGGGAAGGGGGTAGGGGAGGCAGGCTGCCTGCATCCAGCACCCAGTGACCCCCTGGCCCCAGGGGGGCAAGCAGGGCCAGGGAGCCAACATCTGGATGTGAGGGAGAGGCTGCAGGGCCCTGTGGAAGCACCACAGCAGGGTCACCACCACCAGCTGCTCACCGTTTTGCCCCAGCCCATTTTTTATTTAATCATATTTTTTTATTTAGATGCTTTTTAAAAAAAAAAATGAAACTTATATAAAGATAGCTTTACTTTAAGATATGTAAAAGCTCAAAATATCATGGAATAGGGATTATAACTTCTAAGTATATACTATTATATATTACAAACTAGTCAGGAGGGGGATCAGCAGGCATTGGGGGAGTCCCTGTTCCCCCGAGCACTGCCAGGAGTGACCAGGAATAACGGTCACAAGCTGGCAGAGGGTAGGTTTAGGCTAGATATCAGGAGGCGCTACTTCACGGTCAGGGCAGCTAGGATCTGGAACCAACTTCCAAGAGAAGTGGTGCTGGCTCCTACCCTGGGGGTCTTTAAGAGGAGGTTAGATGAACACCTTGCTGGGGTCGTTTGACCCCAGTAATCTTTCCTGCCATGGCAGGGGGTCAGACTAGGTGAGGTCTACTCAGGTCCCTTCCGACCCTACAAACTATGAAACTATTTGAAACAATATGTTCATGTAACCTTTTTAGAAGTTTTGTAAATAGGTAACAACAGGCGATTAACTATATTAGGGGCCCAAACTTACAGATTAAAGAAAACCACTCTACCCAGTGGGACTCAGTACTCAATCCAGAAGATCCCATTAAGGGTCTCTGCAATGCTTCGTTTCAGTTCTCAATCTGTGGATTTGTCTCTCCAGGTATCATAGGCAGACAAGGTTCTTTAGGGCGATGTGGTATCTTTTATTAAGCCAACTATATAGTTGGAAAAATTGTTCTTTGAAAGCTTTGGGGCACAAACAGCCTTGTTCAGGCACAGGGAGAGTTTGTTGTCTCCAGCGATAGCATCCTTGTTAACAGCTGTATATGGAGCTGAGAGATAACAGACCTGGTTACCCACCCATCAGCCCTATTGTCTCTCTGCAAGTCTGTGTACACACAGTAAGGGCCAGACCAGGTGGCTGCCTAGGGCCTGGACCAAAAGGAGACCCATAAATGGTATTTAAAAAAAAAAATTGTTATCATTATGTCTGGCAAAGGGGGGGGGCAACTAGAGGAGTCTAGGTACAGTACTGCACACAGTCAAGCCCTTACCTTTCTCTAAACGTGCAACGTCTCAAAAAGTTAAACAAATAAAGGCCATCAAACAAGAATGTACATTTTGTAGAAAACAATGATTAAAAATGAGGCTTCCTCACCAGTAATTTAAATCATGATCTAAATCACTACTTAAATCAAGTCTACAAGGTGGCCGAGTGCCAGGTGCTCAGAACAGCAGTGGGCAAGCAAAACAGCTGCAGTAGCCCTGAGGAGTGGGGGACTCAGTCTCTGGGTGCCAGGGCCAGGAACTGGGGCATTCAGGGCTGCAAAGCCCAGCTGTGGCAGAAGCAGGGTAGGCATGTGCTGCTTGGGTCTTCACCACGCTACTGCTCTAACAGGAAGCATCAGCACAGAGGTCACACTGTAGAGGGTGTACTTTCAAGATGGCTGCCAACTGCTGGCAGCTGGCTCTGGCTTCAGCATGGCTGCTAAGTGCTGGACTGACCTGGGACTAAAATTAGTCCCAAGTCCCACCACATGTAGATAGCTGCCAAAAAAAATGCTTACTGCACATTAAATTTAAGCCCACACTTAAATTCATGTGTAGACACATTGTTAGCTGTTGCTCCCCAATAAGCTACCTTATAAATTAAAAGTTCTCATCTTCCAATAATATGAGATGGGATCTCTCTCACTCCCTGAAAACACCTGGATTCTTGTTTAACCATGCTAGCATTCTGGGAAATAAACCACAAAGAAAAAAAAAGTCTTTATTTTTCTGCCTTTTTTTATTAAACAAAAATCACCATAGCCATTCACATTCTGAGCAATTGTTTACGTTCTGAATTCTGTGATAGCCAAAATAAAATTTTGACCAAAAGCAGCAGAAATCCAAAACTGTCTTAGTTTTCACAAGGAAAAGTATGGTACAATTATCTGCTCAGTTTTGACTGAAAAGTAGAAGCTGGTCACCAAGACAGACCAAGGATATCACAGGCCAAGGAACCCACAATTAGAAAACAAGTCTTTGGCAACTGATCCAACTTCAAGACAAGGCAGCACCCCTGAACACTTTTTTTTTTTTTTAAAGACAATACCATAAACACACTGTATGAGAGGAAGAAGATTTGACATAATATAATATCCAATTAAGAAAGGTGCCTAAATACAGTGAAAGCATTAAAGATATTCCTCGTGTTGCTCAGTGGGCCAGTACATTTGGTGGGGGGGGGTAGTGAGGCAGGCAAGAACGGGAAAAAAAAAAAAAAAGGAACAACCCAACTGTGTCAAGAACATTTTACATGATCAGAAAGAATGGTCTCTCATGCAATACATAATAGTGTTAGTTGCAGTAAAATACTGCAAGTTCTAAATGTTGCATAAAATTCAGTTCCAAGAGTTCCCAGTCCAGGTCTGGAACACAGATAGTTAAACTCCTATTTAGGTCTTACTTGTTGATATATTTTGAAGCCAAATAAAAAGTAAAGTGAAGGATATCCATACTGGGCATGTCTAACTGATCTTCCTTTTAAATTCTTAACTGCTTTGTAGATAACTTTCAATACATTAAGCAGTTTGTTGCACAAAGCACATGCTCAACTTGCATCTTAGATGTGAAAGCTTCCGTAAGCTAAAGAGAAAGTTTACACAAGATACTCAAGTAGCAAGTACATGTCTGCATGCTCATAAAACTTGGGAGGCAAGGCATTCCTCATATTTACAATATACAGCTGAAGGGTAAATCAAGGTATAAAAAGTTCATAAGCTTTCCTACTAAATAATTGGTATTCCAAAAGCCTCAATCCTTTTGCAAAACATTTAAAGTTGGGAAAGGAACCAGGATTTGACACCATTGCAATTAAACACTTTTACCAGTTACAAGTGGCATCAGATCAACTAATGCACTAATCTGAGGCTAAGACTTACTCAAAAAGAAAAATCATAACTGCAAATTTATAGAACACTGAAGGTACATTAATTGCTAGAAAATTATCTTTCTTTAGTGACCCTATGTACACCTTTTCCATTCAAGTTATTTTCTCCACAAATATGGCATAAGATATTTATACTCCTTTTCCCAGTTTGCTGTAGACAGCCATTTACCCTCAACAGAAAGCAATCTATGAAATAGGATTTAAAAGTAACAGGTAATAAATGTGTTCCTGCCTCCTCCTCCCACAGTTAGAACTGAGAAAATGTTAAGTACAAATAACAGTGACAGCAAGTCATCTTTAAAAGCAGAGTATCCAGATCATAGTCATTATGGTGGCAACACTGAAGGCAGTTTTACTAGTCACTGTAGTTGGACTCTTATTGCACATATCAGTTTGGCAGCAAAAGTACTCAAAGTTATCAGCATGAAACACAGAGGCAATCTCATTTGTGTTGCATCTGGAATTCTTCCAGCAGGCGTATGTTTTCACTTTAGCTGTTTTGAGAGAGAGAGAGAGAATTAAAAAACAGATCCAACATAACTTTTAAACCAAGAAGCAAATTAAGATAATCACTGCCTGATCTGCAGGTTTGGTTCAAATTCCTTTCTGTTGGTTGCCTCTCTCAACTATGGGAACACATAAGAGACAATGAACTTGTCTCTGCTGCACTGCTTACACCAGAGCTAATCCCTCCATTGTTTAGGAGAGGCAGAGGAAGAATCTAAAGAGAGAGTACTTCAACATGGCAGTTATTTCAGTTTCTAAGGACTTTACAAGACAACTTGTATACAGGGAATAGTTATACTTCAGTTGAGATAAATGAACTTAATGAATTACTTTGGGTTAAAATTAGTAATTGTCTTTATGCAGACAAGCACTCAGGTAAAGGCTCAACACACAGTTCATGCTTTCTTCCTTGCAAAAGTTATTAGAAAAAAATCTTATGACATCTTGCTTTCATTTAACTAGGCTTATGGCAAAGTTGCCATGTAACTCCAACTCCATAGGCTGTTTACTCCTAATGATTCCTTCCCCTACCCCTCTTCAAGAATACTGTTTGAAGGAAATTCAAATCCTAAAGGGAAGGGGTGAGGAGGGGAAGACAGCCACACAACCTTGTAGTAGCAGGCTTGCTTTAGTCTATACACGTAAAAGCAAAAGTTTGAAAGACAATTCTAGCTATAGTCGTTTCAACCAAGACTGCGCAATGAAAGCTCATTCAGTGCATCTCTACGTTCATAGTCCATCTATACAATTTGGCTAACTGCATAACTGAGCTTCTCTAAGGAGAGTGCTCTTTTCCTTCTAAGCAACCTTTTCCCTTTTAAAAGGGTATCATTTTGGATAGTAGTAAGTGCTGGAAGAACAGTGCATCTATTGACCTTTCCTTACTACTAGAAATGTTGTCCTATCTATACTTACTATGATAGAGTACAAGACAATGGCCTTTCCAGTGGCCTTAAAATCTCTTGCTAGTAAGACACTTTCTCTCCAAATAATAGGAAGAAGTGAAATGGAAAAACAACAACAAAATATCACAATATTTATCATCATCACAACTGAAAATAAAACACATGGAAAAACAGCTTTTAGATTACTGTGGAATAATAAAAATCCAAAGAAACAGAAGTGTCCAGACTTCAATATGTTTTTCAAACAACATAAATGACTTGCCAATGTCAGAATGACTGGTTAAATTTGTGCCGTTATGTGGACATACTGAGTTTTCAAATGGTCATTTTAAATTTGTGAGCCAACAGTATGTTGCAGTAGCCAACCTACATCGCTCCTCTTTCAAGCCATTTTTTGACATTTCATCTTTACAGATGCATGTGCACGTACCACAAATGCATATCAGATACCCATACCTATACCATTTCATCAATTGCTTCAAAGCCAGCATTTGACATCAGCACGTACTTCCATCCTCAAGTTAAACTAAAACACTCCTTACTTTCAGACTATAAAAGTAACAGTAAGCACAACAGAATAAGGTCTGTAAAGAGTGTACATACGAAGTCTGATCTGTAGGCAAGCATCTTCACCAGGTATGCAGGTACCATTGGTCTTGCACAATACAGGACTTTGTTCACATGTATAACATCTCAGAGAGTAGCCTATAAAAGAAGTGCTTATTATTATATAGGAACCTGTGGCTTTCCTAACAAAAGCTCAAACATCTCCCTTATAAGGTTTGTTTTACTAAAGTTTCAAAATCCTTAAAACAAAAGAATAAGTGTTCTTCATGGTCTGCAAGAACACATTCAATTTTATTACTGAGAACTAACTATAAAGCTAATAGGAAGAAATGCTCCAATGTTTTGATCAGACTATTTAGAAATATCTTAATACATTTAAATAAAGCAAATAAACCTTGCACCCAGTTGTCACAACAGGTAGCCTGAGTGGACCTGGAATAAAAGTTTGCCTTACTAGTGGTATCCACAAAGTTCCTTTTCTTTCTCCCTCTATTACTTCTCTCTCCATCATTTTAAACTTCTCCCCCTCCTCTTAATTATTAGGAGGTACACTGATGTATCAGTTGCATATCGTATTGGCATCAATAAAAAGGAAAATTAACATTAATGGCCATTGGCTCCTTTTTGACCAATGCAGCCAGTAACATGACTGATAAATGCTGTGTGCATGGCTGCAGCATGCACATGGCCAGGAATACAGCCCAGCACCTTGGAGAGCAGTGTCCTGCTGGTAAGTCTGTGGAGTGGAAGGGGCATGGAGGGGACAGATCAAGGCCCACATGCTGAGGGAGACAGTGGGGCAGGAGCTGTCCAGCCCGGGCAGTGACTGTGACCCTCAGGCCAGGAGCGGGACAAAGCTGCAGGTGGTAGCCCCCCAAGCCTGATCAACACCACCCTTGCTCGGGGCTGGGCTCCCAAGGGAAAGCCAGCAGAACAAAGTGCCCCAAGCAGCAGCAGCATTGGGGCTATAGCCACCCCAAAGTTTTTTTCCATTATATAAAAACTTTAATCTAATCTAACAGAAAACAAATCAACTAGCCAGTAAGGTGATCATTAAGATTTTTTTTTAGAACATTGACCTACTATAACTGCTTTTGTAGTAGTCCATTCCTCAAATCGAATATTCCTATAAAAAAAGTTTGAAGTATGTCCCTACCAAATTTCTCAAGGTTCTTATAACCTGTCGCACCCTACTAATAGTTTCCAATGTGCACATGTGAACAAAACATTCTTGCCGCGTGCTGCCTATCAGATGTATAACCAGCAGTCTCTGCACCCTGGGCAGCAGCAACAGCTGGGCAAGCATGGCGGTGGGGGTAGTCACTGGGCTGGCTGCCGCCACCATTCATGCAACCCTGTGGGGAAAAAAGAAGGCATCAAGGGCTACTGCCCTGCTCCGCCACATTTAAATTATACTACTACTGCCTATTTTGTTTCAGCTTCTTCTGCAGAATATTCAGCTAGATTCACATCTCATTTCCACCATCATAGCACAAAACAAAGATTATGCTGATTTCTATTAATCTGATCCACAACCACATAACATACCTGTTTGGTATATTTACACTTATGCAGGAAAGCTCCAAGATACTTACCAGAACTGCAAAAAACAACCAAAGTAATGAAAGCACTGATCAGGATACAATTCATTTTGTTCATGTTTCTTCCCAAATCTGGAAGGGAAAAAGCCACATACATCAGATACAGTTATGCTGTCCCTAGTCCATAAAAACCTAAAAGCCAGGGATGTTATCCAAAAAGAGCATGGTCTCACACTTGACTTCCTGTCATAGGTTCAGAACACAACTTTTCATCTGTGGCATGGGTAGTCTTTCTGCAGGCCTGAGCAGAAATGCTTTAGTTTCCTGTTTCCTCTGCAAAATAGAAATACTACTAGCCTGCTAAAAGGAGAAGTTACGAGGGTGAATGAAGTTGTATGCAACACCAAGCTTGATAACATCAGTAGGCTTTGCTTAAGACCCTTAACATTTACATCTTCAAAGCATTTTGCAAACTTAGTTATTATGTATGGGATATGAATGCATAAAATAAATTAGAAGAGGAATCTCTGGATTGTTCCATTATCACAAAAGCAGGTCACACACCTGTGCCTGACTGGCTGCTGTCCTCTCTGTTTTCTGCTAAAAAGGTCAGTACAATATAGAAACAGAAGGAAAAAGCATGAATCTAATTTAGATATCCTTACTGAAACCAAGAGCGTTGCGACAGGGATAAATTTGTCCAATTACATCCAGTTAGTTATCTGCAAAGCCAAGTTAAGCTAGTTTTGCCATTGCAATCAGACTGTTTTATGCCCAGTTCCTTTAATGATGATCCCTCCTGCAAGTAATGTGTCCGACTGCTTAACTAGATTCACGTTTTGTACATTCTGAAACCAAAAAATTAAGGGGGGGGGGGGGAAAAAAA